TAATAATATAATAAATAATATAATATAATATAATATAATATATTATAAATATATATATTTATTGGATACAGAAAAAAAGGAAGAAAAATTATCTTAAATTTTGATTAATTTTGTATTGTTATTAATGATTCTGTCGATTTTAGGGAAATGAAATGGCAATACCTGTAAAACGAACGTAATTTCAAAATATGGAGTCATATTTAATGGTAAGTTAATCCACATGTTGAATGGGAGCACTCTGTCCGACTCGTTTTTTCCAATATTTCCTAAAATGTAAGTACAAATAAAAAAAAAATTACATTATATTTGTTCTCAATAATTAGAATTACTTTAAATTATATTCACGCATTATTAATCATTAAAAAATAACGATAGAAAATCTGAAAATTCAAAAATTTCAGACTATATATATTTATCTATAACCGCTTAACAAATATTAATAAATTAAATAAATTTACATTCTTTAACAGAAGACAGAAAGACAGAAAAAAGAAAATTATATTTTCACTTTCAAGCGTTGATGTAATCGACTCACCAATGATTGGACTAACGATGTAAGAAGCAGTAGTCGCCATTGCAAGAAACGTAAAGAAGCAAATGAAGAAGGTGCATTTCCGCTTGCAACCGATCACGACTTTTCTCTCGTAGTCGTCGTAATTTTGTAATTCCAGAAAATTCCTTTTCATGTACAGGATCAAACGGAAAAAATCTTTTTTGTGACTAAGCAAAACGAATATCTTCAACAAGGGCAAAATTAACGTCAGCGTATTGGAGGTAGAGAAGAGACACGCCTATGAATATATATGGAAATAATCGAAATTAAAATTATTTGTATCGTGCGAACAGCTCGTTACTTACTCTAATATTTCCCCACGAGTTATATATATCCATAGTTTGTATCCATAGGGCGAAAAGAATAGCGAATATGTTGTAACTAACCATGATGTTTCTCATCCGTTGTTCGTATTCGTTGGCCGCCATCCATAATCCCACGAATTTCATAAAAATTGACGTTAGGCTGACAGATACGTCGCTTTCGAGAAAATTCATATTGTTCTCGCTTAATAAACTGGCTGATACGTTCGTACAACGAACTATACAGAGTGAATATTGATTATCGCAGTGGTGGCGACTACCCACTTTGATCTATTGGTATTCTCTATTCATCGATCGTGTAATTTGTATTTATTTCATATTATTACCGTTCATACATACGGTCTTTTAATGGGAAGATGAAAAAGAGGTGGAAATAAAGAGGATATATACGTTATTCTTCTTATTTAGTAAAAAATGAATTGTTATCGATGCTCTATGCATGATACAGAAATTATGATAACCCTCTGTGAAATCGTAGCGCTGCCAACAGCTGCGCCTCTTTGATAGGGGGAAATTGCGAATTCAGGAGATAACAATTATTGTAATTTACGGAAGATGAGGGTAGAATGGTGGAGGTCTACTATCTATAACGAAAGAATTTTTAGTGTTTACGAGACATTGATTTGTAGTGTAATTCCATGACAACGTCTTTTCTTAATATCTGTGAAATACGTTATAGAAATGATATGTGTAACGATAGTGCAAAAAAAATTGTATAACTGAGGTATCAATTTTTTTATCTATTTTCAACAATATTTATTCTCAACAATAATCACATAATTTCAACTGATAGATTTCTTATTCGATCAGTTGATTGAAAATTTATTCTTGTATTATTAATTATGTTATTAATTATCGTTCCCACTTTCTATATTATTTCGTAATAGTGTAAAATACGATGCTGCGGTACTCAAAACCTGTAACAAATTTAATCAATTTTAATATTTAGAAAGATTATTGTTATCGATAAATTTTCATTTTTCTTCTTCTTGACACGAAAAATAAAATTTTATTCATGAAAATTTATTAAATTACAGATGTAACCGACGATTAAAATATTACACTGGTATATGTTTCGAGAGACACGATGAAGTATCCTTTTCCTGTCAAGCAACAAGGTATGCTGGCTCTCATAATGACTACTATCAAATCTTTTCGCATCATCTTTCCGCTTATAGTCATTGGTAGTAACGTCCAAGGTCCTGCGTATGCTGCTGTAGCTACACTCACGCTTTCTCGTATAATGCAATCACAGCTGTAGCTGAACATCAGTAATTGGCATAGACATGCTAATATGTGCAAACTGAAGATTAAACGTGTTTTGATATCTCCATTTGCCTATGGAAAATAACGTTACAATAATTTATATCATGTATGTTATATTGTGAGAATGAAACAACTTTTATTCTCATTTTAATTATTCGAATTTTAAATATTGAAAAAGATATATTTAAGATAAGAAAGATTAATGAATCGTTTATCTTTTTGTTATTTTTAAAATTATTAAAATTATTTAAAAATTATAAATCATTGGTTTATGTCACTCTACCATAAGTATTTGATATCCATCGAGGCAAATTAGCAAGCTGAACATCAAAACTTGCTCTAGGACAATCAAATTGAATACCACTTCAAGTTTTCTGCAATACGCTATAAGGGCTTGATGTTGGCGAATATACTTTTTAAAAGTGGTGTAACATTTACTTGAAAAATACGACGATTCCGTAATTAATTTCTCCTTTTTCTCTTCTTTTCTAATTACCAAATCTGCTATGTTGGAAATTCTATATTGCAACACTTTAAATTGTCCAGCCACGTGTAAATTCATAATGCACAAAAAATTGTCGAAACAGAAGTAACTCAC